GAATGCCTGGCTCGACTTGCTTCTTTTAGGAAGGCGTTAAGAGGGTTCTGCAGTCATGGGAGAGAGGGCAGCAAAGCAGCACTGCTGCGCTGGCGAGGAGCGCCAGCGGGAGATGTTCGGTGTCGGGCTGGGGACCGCGTTTCGCTCTGAGTATCGCTCGAGGGTGGCAGCAGGATGCCTGCAGCGCCTGGGAGGATGGTGAAGACCTCGTCGTCTGGCACCAAGCGTTGCAAACCAGCGGTCTCCCTGAGGCACCACTGCGCAAATGCCCATGCCCAAGCCAAGGCTCCGAGTTTAGCAGGGGGGCCGAGGCTTGCAGATGGGCTCCAGGTGGGGTGTTCGACTCTAGCCTCCTTCTCTACCCATGCACGCGCCTTCTCTAGCAGGTGCATGCACCTAAAAAAACTTGGGGGGAAAAAAAAAGGTGCTCAGACACCCTTGATTTGAGCCGGTCCAAGGCTGCGTGCCCCTTGCCCTTGCCTCGCTGGGCACAGCTCGCGGTCTCCGAGCTGTGAGCACACGCGAGAGCCTCCGCTTGTTCTCTGTCTTCAGGGAGCTGTGAATACGCTGGTAGCAGCTCTCTCCTGGCCGACTTGACTGTGTTCACGCCACGGAGTTAGAGACGCAGGTCTTGTGTGCGGTGCCAATTCCCAGAGCCTTCTCACACCGTCTTTAGTTAAATGGGAAAGGCTCAGAGCAGCTGGACCCCTTGCTTTAATGATAAATTCCATTATCTTATGGAGTACTTGCAAAAAATCAGCTTGTTTATATAATTAAAAAAAAACTACAGCTAGACATGGTGGCTTTCTGCTAGTGCTTTACACGTGATCTCCAATGTGACTGCTTAAAATGACATCTCCATCTTTGCTGCCTTCAGCACTGGGGACCTTCAGGTTGTACCTGCTTTACTGTTGCGCGCAGGGCAGTGACAGCACCCAGCTCTCATACGGCGCTTCGTCTCTGGAGAGCAGCTCTAGGATCAGGAGCTGGATTTGTTTCCCTGTCTCGCGTCTGGCTGAGAAGCTCTGCCCCAGCGGCAGTATATCCTTGCTGGAGAGCCAGGGAGAAAAGAGATGAGTATTTAGATTCCAGAGGAATTTGCAGGGCTGGCAGTTTTAAGGGGGGAAAAAGCAACCCTATCTCCCAACTTGTAAATTAAGCAGATCTGGTCGGGAACTGTCATCGCGGAAGAAGAAATATGAAACCTCTGGGGTCGTGTATGCAGAGTAATTTTTCTGACTGTAAGTCTACTTAAAAGTGAGGATGTGATGAAAATGCTTAGAGCATTTTAAATGGACCCAGCAGACATCTGATTCAGCTCCAGCGAAGTTTGTACGGTTTTTATTGGGTGTTGGCTTATTCTAAACTCACTAATACCAGAGTTTAGTGCATGGCTAAGAAATAATTTGCCTCCTTCTACTTCTTAATTGAAAATATTCTTGGATGAAGGGAAAGCGATAGTACTGGGTTTTTTTTTTTTTTTGGCCTCTGTTTTGGTGGGCTGCACGGAAGGAGAGGGAAGAGGTTAGTGCTGCAGAGAAGAAGCATCTGGTTGCCAAGGCATGGGTGCTTGCTGCCTCGGTCGAGGGCAGAGATCGGATCCACGCCGAACTCGGGAATGGGTCAGGCCTCCAACTGCTGGAAAAAAACTCAAGATGAAGCTGACCTTGAAATGAGCCCAAGGATGCTTGTGTTTGTCAGGCTCACTGTGAGAAAGCTAATTGGCCGTGTGAAAGATGGAAAGAGAAGGTTAATTAAAGGGGTTTTTTGAAAGCAGAAAAGGAACTTCACAAAAGCTCAAAATGTAACCTAGAATGAACCTTTCTTGGGAGTAAATCAAGACAGCTCCAGTCCCAACTGCGCTTTGCAGTCTTCCCCCCTCTTAGTTTCAAATGGCTGAGTTTTGTGCAACTCGCTTCTCCCTGGCAGCAAAGCTAACCTGGTGAAATCTTGCAGAAAAGCCATTTGAAATCGGCTGTGAACCTGAAGTTGTCAATCTGTGGCACGTTATATTTGAGGACATGCTGAATGCGGAGAATTAATTTGCAGGGAGAAGTGAGAGAGATGCATCATGACCTGCCTCTCTCGGGCCAGACTTCCCACCCGTCCCAGCGAGCCCGCAGAGTGCAGCGGGGGGAATGGAGGGGGGGTTTTCTCTCCGGGCGTAGAGACCCCAGCTCAGCCTCCCCGCGCTCCCGGTCCTGCTGGGCTCCGGCTCTGCAGACAGCCGGCGCAGCCGTGCGCTGAGAGCTCCCAGCGTTCAGCGGCCCCCGTCAGCGAGGTGGTTTGAAAGGCTGGTGCGCGTTGGCTGGTTCCCTCCGGAGAGCGGGCGTGCGCGTAGGGAGGAAAACGAGCACGTGTCCGGGCTGCTCCGGGCTGAGGGTAGCCGGAGCGAGGGCTGTTGCTCCCCAGTGCACCTGGGTCATTTGGGACACCACAAAGCACGGTGTTTCTGCTCTTATGCTTCGGGGCAGAAGCCGATTGTCTGCAGGGGAGGAAGCTTTTCAAGCTCCTATCCATCACTGTGCGATCAGCTCCGTGTGCCGTGCTGGGTTTTTTTTCCCCTTGCTTGGCCGTTCTTTCCGAAGCAGGGTGTCTGGCCCAGATGCGTCATCTTAGGTAGCAAATCAAATTCACTTGGCTTTATTTGGAGGTGCCACCAGGGCAGGGTACACTGCATCGTGGTGCAGTTCTGCGGAGAAACCCGTGCCAGACCGGCTGGCCTCGTGGCGGGAGGAGACCGTTGCTCCTCCTGCCGCCCTAGCCACGCTTGTGCATCAGCGCCACGGGGTTGTGGAGCGTGCAAGTGGAGGGCAGCTTTTTGGGACAGAGCGTCCCAGCCCTTTCCGTGCCGCTTTGCGACATCTTTGCTGGCCTGTGTCCAGAGCTAGCTGGCTGTGTATGGCAGGAGATGGTGAGGTTGAGGCTCTCCTGCACCCGCCTAGCTGAGTTCCCCCAAGGAGGGAATGCCCCAAATTAATGCCCCTTCTGAAGCTCATTTTGGTGGCTAATTGAAGACTAGGCAATGACAGCAAGCGTGCTTGTGTGCATTGACATATGCCTCTGTGCAGTGAAGCATCTAGATATTCCAGATCCTGATGGGATGGGAGGAAATATAAATGGATAGGAAAATAAAAGGCACGCCAGCCTTCCTCCTTGTTCCCCTGTCTTCCTTCCTGCCTCCCCTGGATTTTAGTGCAGGAATTTCGCCCCATGCGTTTAAAACAATCTCTCCGAGGCATCTCGGAGCTATTTGTTTTCTCTTTAATTGGCTAGTGGGGAAAAAATAACGAAGGGGAGTCATGCAGGGGAAGTTTTCATTGGTGCTGTTTTTGGCAACAGAGTCACAACATCCTAAATTTATTTATTTAATTGCATTATTAAAAGTATAAATAAAAATAAATCCAGGAGAGCAGCCGGATCTATGCTTTGCATCTCTAAAATAGAACCATAAAATGCCACGGAGCACTGGGGGAATGATTTATTAGCCTGTTATCGTGAGTGACTGGGACGCTTTCGATGGAGTCCTTGCTAATTTCTAACAGCTGCATTAAATCATAGATGCTATCAGCTATTATAAAATAATCACCCAGCGGTCTGCAGACCAGCATGAGCCCAGGGTCAGCGCTGGAGCCCTTCATTTGTTTCACATCTCAGCCCCTCTGGTTCCTGGTAAGGGGGAAAAAAGAGGACTTGTAGCGGCCTCGTTTTATCATCGAGGAGCTGACAATAAATAAAACCTCTATAAACCTTTTCTAAAAGGAGTTGGGACTGGAATTTGCAACTGGAGGAAACCTTTCTTTGTGCTTAAATATGGCTGTGTGATGTCAGGGCTCCTGGGTCCTATTTCCCGTTCAGAAAGGGAGCCTGCGTGTGCTGATTTATAGGACGGACTGAGGATTTCAGGGTTTCAGCTTCAGTCAGGGCTGAGAAGAAGAAAGCAGGTCCTGTGGCAGTTAAGGACGTCCGGTTTGGGGCTCCTGCCACCCTGCGTTGACTCTTCCCTGTTGAATCCTCCGTGTTGTTTCAACGAGTTGCTTAAATATTCCTAAAGCTTGTCTGTCTTCCTCTCGTTTGACAAATGCGTGTGTGCGTTTATGTGGCTGCGCTCCAGACAGGGTTAATATTTGGCCTGGAAATCTCTTCAGAAGCGCCAATTTTAGCGACAGAGAAACAACAGTGAGTAGGAGAGCGTTCGAGATCCCGGAGAAGTTAGGAAGCGGCTGCTTTTCGCGGCAGTAGCGGCGAAGCAGCTCGCAGGGCCAGGCCCAAGCATGGATAGTTTTAAAGGGTGAAGGAGACGGGAGAGAAAAAACCAAAAATAAATAAAAATAAAGCAGTTAGGGAGAAAATGCCACCCATCTGCAATGTTTGTGTTTTTCTTGACAGTTTTGCTTTATGTTGCAACAGCTGCTCAACATGACAAATGCCGGCTTTAATAGCAACGTATGTGAGGAGATGCAGGCTAGGTAAGTGAATAATGGAGCTCTCTAACTCATCATGTTGTCTGACGTTTTTACCTGGGGATGGATAGCCCTCGCCACTGTGACCGTGGTGTCTCGTGCCTTCCACATCGAGCCTGGGCAGACCGTTTTCGAGACAGCTCTGCTCGGCGGGCTCCCTTCCTTCTGCCCGCCTCCCGACTTGGGGACTGTAGTGCTTTGACGGAGTTTCGTCCCTCTTTGAGTTGACCAGGTGCCAAGGGGCTTTGCTCTGAATACGGTACAAGGAGCCTCAGAGCTATCTGTTTGCATGAGGATGAGCCCGGTAGCGGTGGCAACCCAGGATGCTCCAAGGCCACGTCTCGACAGGGCGTGGAGCAGCAAGGCTTTGGAGGGGCTCAACTAGAAGATGTCTGCAGCGGACCCCCTGTGTGGCCTTGGGAAAATTTCATATTTCCCAACAGTATTTGGGTTCCTTTGTCTTTTTGTACCTTGTTATCTTCTCTCTGAAATGGGAAAATGAGCTGTGCAGCTTAAAGGTTGTAAGTTGTTTCCTTACTGCAGGGTTGGAGATTGTCCGCGGACCAGGGATTGCTGACAACAAGCATAACTGAGTCAGTGCCGTGTACAAAAACCTTGCTCAGCCTTTGCAACTGCAGTCAAACCCTTCCCCAAGGTTACTGTTGCTCATAAAGCATGCTTAGTTTTGTTTGCCGCAAACCTAGATTTAAATCCCAGAATCCAGTCAGACCTGAGCTTTGAAGAGAATTGGATTTGAGTCAGAAGCGAACGGCTCAGGCCAAGCTGACTCTAAAAGATGAATTAAAACTGACCTAGGAAGATGGAGAAGTCCGCATTCAAATCCCGGGTTTGCAACTTGCATATTTATCTTGTTGTGACTAGTACCACTGGGAATAAATCAATAAAGTCCAGAAGACGGGCAGAACAGATAGACTGGTTCAGATAACGTGGGACCTGCGCTGGCAGTTTACCCATAGTTGAAGTCAACCCCCCGTGGATGTTTCCCAAAGATTGCAGGAACTGAGATCCTTCCCTCACCTAATGTTTTTTTTCCTGTGCTTCAACCCTTAGATGTAAGGATTTCAAAGGTGAAAAAAAAAGTGCACTGGCCACAAAGAGGAACGACTGAAAACACTGAGCATTTGCTTTTCTGCAGGGACGTGCAGCCGAAGAAGCCCGCGCGGTTCAGACAGGCTTAGCATAAGCGTTCAGATCTTTATCCGCTCAACACAGCCGCCGAACTTTCCAAGCAGCACCCATCCCGGTGTGCCCGCAGAGCGCGCTGCGGGGAGCAGGGGGGGTTTTTCTCTCTCTCTCATCGTCAGCGAGGTGGTTTGAAAGGCTGGTGCACGTCGGCTGGTTCCCTCCGGAGAGCGGGCGTGCGCGTAGGAGGGAAAATGAGCACGCGTCCAGGCTGCTCCAGGCTGAGGGTAGCCGGAGCGAGGGCTGTTGCTCCCCGGCCCATCCGAGAGCCACGGGCTGTCGGGGACCGTCCTGTGCAAGAGGAGAGGACCGCGCTGGGGCGATGCAGCGTGCAGGGCGTGCAAGCGGAGCGCAAGGCGCGGTGTTTCCACCCTTATGCTTCGGGGCAGAAGCCGCTTGTTTGCAGCGGGGAGGAAGGCTTTTAAGCTCCCATCCGTCTCCCCAAAATCAGCCGGGCATATTTTCTTCTCCTGCTCTCCCTTGGCAGGCCCAGGGCTCGATCCGGGATGGCAAACGCCCATGCCCGGCGCGGGACGGAGCAGGGCCGCGGGGTTGCAGCCCGTTTGGCTGCAGCGTTAGGTGAAGCCCGGGGCTGGCTGCGCTCGCCGGCCTGGCCGCGGGAGGGCGGTACGGCGAGCC